GTGGGGGGGGCCGGGCCCCGGCCCTGCCGCTGGGCGGGGGCGTTGGGGAGGGCACCCTTCTGAGGGTGAGGCGGTGGGGATCTCCTCAGCCCCTTCGCCCTGAAGGGAGGGGGCCGCCCGGGTTGGGGGGGGAGCAGCGGGGCGGGCCCCCTCCAGCCCTGCCTCCTGCCCCACCGTGGCCTCCGCAGCAGCGCTCTGCACCTGTGTTATCAGCGCGGGGCAGGGCCGCAGCCCGCAATCCATCCCAAACCGGTCGGCTTTATAATGGTAATGGTGTCCTGTGTCAGTAGGCTTGCCTGTGAGGAGTCACCCTCTTGGGAGAGCTGCGCTGAGTGACTTGGGAGGGAGTGACAGTAGTAGGAGGCAGTCCTTAATTATGGGCGCTTCTCTTCCAGATGTTTGGAAGTAATGTAGGTGCTCTGAAAATAGGCAAGGATTAAAAAGATCCCTTTCTCTTTCTTATGCACATGCTATCTCCACTTATGAGTCTGCATCCTTGCTAGTTGCTTGTCCAGGGATGGTCTTACACCACATATTTCTCACCCCATTGAGAGATGACAGCAGCTGAGTCCTGTGCTTCCCAGCCTTGATCTTTTCAGTCTACATGCTGAAAGAACTCCTGCTGTACAAAGGTGCAAGATTTCCTCCTCCCCCCCCCCTCCTTTTTTTGTTTTAAATTTTATTGAAACTCAAGGACAGTTACTTTGCATTTGAAAAAGATCAGGGATAGCTGTGTTAAGTACTTGACTAACAGAGTTATCATAACAGTATCTTCCCTGTGTGAGATTCTGAGGCTGGCTGAAAAGAGGGCATTGAGGGGTTTACTACATATGAATTATATCAGGAATCGTAGAGCCAGTTCCATTTTCTCTAGTGAAATGTGAGTTTGATTTTGTCTGTGTATTGGTAAGGAATAGATATAACTGGAAGACTTCATTGAGATTTATCTTTCTGAAGAAAATAGCACTGCAACTATCAGATGACAGAAATAGCAGTACTTTTTGAGATTATCATCACTGTTGGTTTTTATGAGTTTGTCACCAAAGCAAAATGGAAAACAGTCGCTTGCTCCAAGTTACGGTGTTCAAGAAACTCAACCAGTGGGAAGGAATGGATCATATTGCTTGTCTAGGCTGTCTTTGGGAACAGCATGTAGGTTAGTAAAAATCTCTGAACCAGAAGTTAGGATGGGACCATGTTGTTTATGTGTAGTGCCAATCTGTGAAGAAAATACCAGGGTTGTATTAGAAAGTGTTTCAAAATAGCTGCGTTCCTTGAGGAGGGGGAGATTGGATATTTTTACATTTTATTTCGGAAAGAGTGGAAAAGGCTGAGCATTCCTTGTTGGTAGAACAGCTCTGCAACTTTTCCTGTATATGGAAATGTACGGCTACTGAATGTTGGCATGTACTAAAGCAAGATCGTGGAAAAAGCAATTTGCAGTTGTGTTTTGCTTATATTAACACATGGAATCTCAAATCATGGCTGTCCAAGGTCAAAGGTAGCTTGGATTATGTCAACGTTTTCACATTAATAAAAAATAATTAATTCTTTTGCTTAGGACTGCATATTTTTAATAGCTTCATTTGATTGGTAGAATATGATTATTAGAAAAAACATGAAAATCATGCTGGTTAAAATTATGACCTGGACTTAAAGCTCATATAGTTATATTTGAAGTACATTTGAAATGTATCTGTAAGTTGTATTTCTTTAAAATAGCAGTGCTTGATTTCTTTAAAAAAAAAAAAAGGAGAAAAGAAAAAGTCTCTCCAGTTATTTGGATTGGCAAAGTACTGTATCATCTCTGCTCCAAGACTCAGCGCTTTCAGCACATTTGTTAAACTAGTGGTGTGATAGTAATGGCTAAGCTCCGTAAGAACGTACTCATCTTTCATTCACTACTGAGTTTCTGTTGGACTGCCATTCATTTCCTGTTTGCTTCCAAATTCCTACCTTGTCCTGAAGTCTCCACCCTCTGCTAACATGGCCATACTTGGGTATGTTGTAATTTCAGGCTATAATGGGTGTGGATGTCTTGGAATGACATCACAGAGGTATTTCTTTTTAGATGTATATGTAGGGGTAAAAAGACTTTGATCCATCAGCAAAGGTTAAATTGCTATGAAAATGAGTGGAATATATGGAAGGAATTGACAAATTCAAGTTGTATGTATTGAATTTTGCACATTTTAATTATTACAGGTGACCTGGGGTTTTTACGATGTTACCTTCCGTCCGTTTATGCTGCCCTTGGTTAATGCAGGACACAGAATATGATATAATATTTTAAACAACTTTGTATTTGCAGGTCGGTGCGCCTCCAGTTACAGGTGTTCAGCACTGTCTCTTGTAGCAGTCATAAGTTAAAGAAAAAACTAGGTCTCTAGCTTTTTTTAAACAAAATATTTACAAACTAGAATGATTCAGCTTGTTCTTTTAGTGTTTGAATCTCATGGGGGGAAAAGCCTAACTAAAACTGTTTAGTGCTAGAATTGATTTGAAGAAATTAGTAATTAGTCAATTACTAATCTTAGTAATTTTTCCCTAGGATACATATAAATGGGTTTATCAAATAATCCATCAGCAGATTACAATTACATATAAATGTTCTGGACACACCAATTTAACCTCCTGATATATATATATATAAAAAAGAAAAAGATTTTATTGTAGTGCTGCCTGTGAGCCTTGATAGTTGTCAGGATTTTGAATCAGTTCACTGAGATATGCTCCTAGAATTTTATTTTTCCAAGTATTCTATTTCTATAGTAAAACTATTAGGTTTGTTAGATTTCCTAAGAACCTGCTGTCTTGCCTGTGAGGATGTACTAAGAAGCATGCATATATGGCTTTTAGGGCAATTGCAATTAGCTATAGTAAGCAAGACAGTTAAAATTCATCAGCCTGCTGAACATATCAGGCCATACAGCAAAGGCAGCTCTTTAGTGGCCTTAACTTATTTACTGAGTAAATTGTGATCTTCTGTAAGTAAATTGTAATACTGGACTGAAACAACCTTGGTAAAGGTTGAAGGCTGATTTTGTTTTAATAATTATCTAATTTTGAAGTGTTTTGTTTTCAATTTTACACCTTTCAGCTTTTTCAATTTTTACAACATAGGAATATCTTTAACTCGGAATGTCTCTACATCAGTTTTTACTAGAGCCAATCACCTGCCATGCATGGAACAGAGACCGTACTCGTAAGTAATACATTAGTTTTAATTTTTAATTTTTTTTTCAGTTGCTATTTTCTCTTTGCTGTCAATTTGTGATCTTGTAATGTTCTGGATCACATTTGGTCAAGGTATGGTCAAATACATAGTGCCACATGTTAAACGTTCCACTTCTGATGCAAAAAGCACGCGTCTTCTAAATCTGAGCTATTCTAAACCCATTACTGGAACTCTGGCATATGAGCAAATCTAGTCTTGCTAGTGTTCCAGAAAGCTTTGCCTCTTGGTCTGCACCTCGTGAGAATGACCTGGCCCTTACCCTCTATGACCCTCTATTTCCATACCCCAAACCAGCTCTTTCTTTTAATAGCCTAGCTTTCCACTATAATGTGGACTGTTATGTTCCAAGGATATTGTCTTTCTGTGCAGTATACTCATGACCATGTTATGACCATAATTATTTGAGATTATGCAGGGATGTTGGCCCTTTGTTTACAAAATCCATGTAATGCTCTGAAATTTGAGAATACGGGTTTTAGATTAGAAAAGTAAAGCTTTCCAAGTGAAGCATTTGGTATTAAAAAGCCTTCTGTACTATTGGATTGTTTTATTTCTTCTTCAAGAGATTGCCATTAGCCCTAATAATCATGAAGTCCACATCTACAAGAAGAGCGGGAACCAGTGGGTAAAGGCTCATGAGCTAAAGGAACACAATGGACACATTACAGGTAAGAGAAGATTGTGCTGTGCCAGACATGAAGTTTGTCCGCCCCCTGTTTTCCCCAGTTGAGAATCTGAATAGGAAATCTGCAAGTGTTGAGTAAATAGATCTTTTTATAGGTTGGCATGCCCACTTACGGAGAGCTTTGCAGTATTTTTCTGGACTTCATGCAATGAATGTTAGGAAGGAAAGCCCTATTTCATTTCCAGACGTTTTGGTAGAGTTACTCAGCCTTTCTTTCTTATCTGTTGCTTATTTTTCATCTGTAACGACATAATAAGAATAAATTTTCAGTCTTGTTGTGTCTCAAACTCTCCTGGTGACACATACTGCTCCCTTTCAAGTGCTAGTGTTAAAACTTCATCAAGTGTACAACTGTTGCATTGGTTTGTGGTTTCCAACAGCAATAAATACCCTTTTTTAGGGCCTGTATAAAGACTTGAAGTGGTCAGTCACGGACTTATGACGTACCATCAGTGAGCACATTTTACTGCAGTATCTGTATGCACAATGAAAATGTAAGAAGAGCTGCCACAATGAGTCACAAGGTGTTATTTTTAAAATATGATTGTCCTGTGGTAGTCTTTTATATTACTATTTTTTTTTCATGGTGATATTTTAATAAGGGCTTTATTCTCTAAGGAATTGAAAGTAATTAATACAAGCACTTGCCCAAAACATCAATATCCTTTATTCTGTTCTCAACTCGCTAATGGGCAGAAGTATCTGCCCAACAGAGCTTTACAGGAACTTTATTCAATTTATCTGATTCTTGTTGTCAAAGAGCACAACTGTATGTGCTCTTTTGTGAGGAGTCACTTGGGCTGAATTTACGAATGACATGCTGTTCCCCAAAGACATTTCTCTGCATTTTACTTGTACCTGTTAGTGTTAGAAGCCAAATATTCATGACTTGGGAAAACAGCCCTCCCTGCTTTCCTGCATCGCATATACCTTTGGAATGCTAAACGCTGTGGTGGTTGTAAAGAGTAGACTTAAACGGTGGTTAGACACAGGAGATGGACTGATCAAACCACTTGTTGCCTCTGATGGGAGTGATTCAGCTGCTGCCCAAGGTCCCTTGTCTTCTGTGTCTTGATTCAGAGATTTGTGGTGAGCTGCTTCTGTTCACTTACAGGAAGAGCATTATTCACTCTTTTTGCTGGCATAGTTTTCTGCTGAGCTAAAAAGCTGAACTTGCCATGGGTCAGAACAGCAGTGCTGGTGTCGGGGAGGTGGTGGGCAATAGAAGTAGAGAGGCAGGATGGTCCACTCTTTCAAAAGCAGTGCTAGATTGGCTGGTGTAACTATGGTTTCAGACTACCAGCCTCTTTAAAATTGAACTTTTTAAGCATAAGCCTATTTTGAAGTAGACCATATATAAATAATATGGTTAAATTAGTACAAATTATTTCCATATCTTTTATCCTTTTTTTCAGTTTGTGTGCTTAAGGAATGTTTTTAATACTGAATGCAGTTATGGAAAACCATTGAAATATAATTTTGTGGCAAGAGAGTTCAGGATTGTACTCTGCATCTCGAGAAGGATGCTAAGGAAAAGATGAAAAATAATGTTGCTGTAAGACTTTCCAGTTAAGAGCATCCCTCATTACATAGGAGGGGAAAGAAGCAATGGCAGACTTATCAAAGGCTTCATTTTATTCTTTGAATTTGTTATTTTTTGCTTGGTAAATGTTTCTCATGGCACTGCTTTAATAGGCATGGAAAAAATGTCAGGATTCTGTCAGTAAGTACATAAAGATTGATAACTTCTAAAAAAAAAAATCCCCCTGCTATCTAAACTTTTAGATCATGACTGCGGTCTGGCAGCAAGCAGACAACTATGTTAGAGGTTTGTGCATAGTTTTAGTTTTAGAATTGCTGGGTTTCAGCTGTTGAAACGGGTCTCTTGCAGAAGCCAGTGGTTTGCAGCCTGCGGGTGGACAGGCCTTAGCCAGTCTGCAGAGCTCCACCTGTTGGCCAGCCCTCAGAGCGGGCTTCCTTAGCGGGCAAATTCTCTGTGGAACCTGGAAATTTGGGATCTGCAATTTTGATGAAAGCTAGAGGGACAAACTGATATCCCTAACAGTTTAAAATGGTGCCTGGAGAATAAGTGAACAAGGGGGATACTAACAAAACATTAATGGCTGTCTCTGTGGTAGAAGGCTGTGAGATTGTCTTTGTTCTGGCTTACTGTAAAGCAAACAGTATGTAAAGGGAAAAGTTTATTAATGTGAACTCTAAATTGTAGGTATTGACTGGGCTCCCAAAAGCGATCGCATTGTAACTTGCGGTGCAGACCGTAATGCCTATGTCTGGAGTCAGAAAGACGGCGTGTGGAAACCAACCCTTGTGATCCTGAGAATTAATCGTGCAGCCACCTTTGTAAAATGGTCTCCCTTGGAGAATAAATTTGCTGTGGGAAGTGGAGCTCGACTTATATCTGTATGCTACTTTGAATCTGAAAATGACTGGTGAGCTGTTTAAGTTTAATTTCCATTTATACTTTTAATGTCTGCATGGGAAAGCTAAAGCCTGGATTTTAGGTGGTAACTAGGTTACTGTTTCCTTAATTCCTAAAATCTTCAGGAAGTGTAAGAGGGATAGGCCTCATCAGTTCCTTCATGGACTTTTTACAGCTTAGGGAGAGGATTCCCTCTTTTACGTCTTTACTCTGGTGTAGCACCTAAAGGCCTTGGACTTAGCCAATTTTCAGGTTATACGTGTTGGTGTGGATGTGTTCCAGCTGACTGCCACAAACATATGTTGCTTTTCTAAAAGTGCAAGAATTTCTGCAGAGTAAAAATTTCTTTAGCACAACTGTATGGTTGAAATAAGAGAAATGTTTTCTCCCCCCACCTTCTTCCAGAATGAATGAAGAAACCTTGACTTGAGTCTTTCTTCCGTATAGATTATTTTGGGCCATTTCTTGTCATTAAAGAATTCAAGTATGTGACTTATCTCCAGGGTGGTCGATTAGAAGATGTTTGAGCTTGTCATCTACCTGTTCTATATTCTGTCATATATTTTTATCACAGTTTATAGATTTCAGACAGGACTATCATAGATATTTCCTCCATTAACTTTTTTTTCCATTTGGCATTTAAATGTAGTGCTTCTGATCTTTAATGGATCTACGTTTGTAGCTGTGTGTTGGAGCTACATTTACCATCATCTGTAGGTGAAATCAGTATGTTGAATATCTATTATTTTGGGTTGCATAAACATGCATAAAAATACAGGTGTCTGTGCCTGCTGTTCTGTATTCAGTCTTCCATGTGGAGATGGTAAACAATGAGACCATCTGCAAAATACATTTTAAAGATCGTTTTGGACTTTTATGCCTTCCAACATACTCAGTTATTAACACTTTCTCTGCCTCACTTGTCTGCAGAAGAATCAAACCCCCATATGTTGAAGACAAATAATTTAATGCGATCCTTGAAACTGCTTGTGCCTGATGGAAGTAAATTCACAGAAAAAGCACCATCATCCCAAAGGCCATCAAGTGAATAACAGATTTCATTACTATTTTGTAAATAGTTCAAACAAACTAAATCTGCTGAGACATATTTAGGCTAATATTGATGCATTTGACATCACGACCACTTTTTGCTGTACCTCAAATAATTGAGATGTATACACTGGTCATAGAATTGGCAGTTGACCCATTTACTTGTTGTGTTTTATAGTTACTGTATTATTAAACAGTAGAAAAGTCAATAGGCAAGAGAGATGACTGTAAAGCTCATTAGAAGGAGTTGGAGAGGACTTGTACTTAGTGATCTAAGAAAATAGTGCTGCTTAGCTCAATATGAGAGTCAAAGCTGAGCTCTTATTCATAGGATGTAAGGGACCAGGCAGTTACTGTGCAAAATTCACATTAAGGAGTTCCGTCTGATGCATTATAAAAATTAGTTAGAAGGGGAATAGGACTCAGGTGAAGAGATACATATTTAACAAGAGTTTCTTCACAGTATTTAGAATTTTAATGAAGATAACCATATAAAGTTCACAGACTGTACAAGGGAATATGAAAGATTTGGACATAGTGTGTGTTTTGCAAAACTGATGTGTTTAGTCATTGGCAAGGGGTGATCTTTTTGAGGAGTACTTCATGGATTTGGGGGAGTCTGGTAAAATATTTTCATATGAATTTTCTCTCTCTCTCTTATTTTTTTTATTTTTTTTATTTTTTTATTTAGGTGGGTGAGCAAACACATTAAAAAGCCCATTCGTTCCACTGTCCTTAGCCTGGACTGGCACCCCAACAATGTTTTGCTGGCTGCGGGATCCTGTGACTTCAAGTGCAGGTGAGAGAAAATAAAGCATTTGTAAATCAATTTGGATTACTGGTTCAAGTTAGTCAGTAGCATGAGCATGTTGATCATGCATTTGCTATTAGAATAGAAGATGGCTCATTGCATACTGTTGTTGTTACCAAAATAAAATATCCAGCTTAAGAGACTTTGGCTTTGGTGCTGCTGCATGCTGACTTTGGACTACTAACATGTATCTATTGAGGGACACGCCTGAATTTAATGCAATGATGGGTTTCTTTACTAGGAGTACATGGAAGTACTACTACTCAGCACTCAGTGATGAGATCTAGTTTTTTGGCTGAAGTTAGACTAACAGGGGCTATCTTGTAGAACAACATCACTGTTACTTAGAGTTTAAAACCCAATATCCTAATGCTGCAGTTCCAAAATCAGGGTAACTCGGTGCTTCCAAAGGAGGTATCTCACCTTTTTCTTTCCTGAGTCACTTGTTCTCTCCCCTTTGCCTATGCTAGCCTTAATGTTCTTGCAGCCCTGTGGTGAGCAGGATCAAGGAATTGATCCTCCTGAAACTCAGCATAACATTTTGAAGAACAATAAGAAAAAGGCTGGTAAAATCAGATCGGCATGTGAGATGGATGGGGTAGTCTTTCAAACTGGTTATGAAATTGCAGCATGAGGGATAGGTCCTGCAAGTTGCTCTGTGCTGAGTGATTGGGGTCACTGCAATGAAGTCTGCATGGGGAGCTGTCTGCAGAGTGGTTGACTTTAATTCATATTTTACTTAATCACTTGTACCTTGAATAATAATGAAAGCCTCTTTTCTTAAATTCTTTATGTAATAGGGCAATTTTTAAGCTTCAAAGTGTGTACTAAAAATTACTAAGAAAGAGTGGGAGGGGGAGGTGGGACCGATTATTACATTCCTTATTTCAGAATGAAACCCATGCATCTAAATTCTATCCTTTGATACCTTTTTATGTAAGGAGAGATGTTAAATGGAAGCTGGGAGGAAGAGGAGAGTTGTGTCCCTTTTCTGCATTAGCTCCGGTTTTAATTAGATAAACTATACATACTCACTTCTTTTCACAAAAAAAATGTGTTGTAGAACATACTCATTCATCTTACAGAAGCAATTGCTTTTCACATGTGGAAGCTTTTTCATGCGTGTTCGTAAAGCGTCTTGGGACTTTGACATTAGGTCAGCTGATATATTTGTAGATATATTTCTCTCTCTCTCTCTCTCTGGACTTGAGCTCTTTTGTCTCCAGGCTTTGGTGCTTGTTATGTACATTGCATTCCTGATGATCTCCTCTTTCCTGTTTTGGTTGAGGAGTTAAATTTGCATCATTTTCTCTTCAGTGTGGTTTTGTGGGTTTTTTGGGGGGGGGGTTGTTGTTTTGTTTTGTTTTGTGTTGTTTTTTTTCTTAAGAAAGTCAAGGTGTAATTCAGTCAATTTCCTAGGAGCATTCTCTAGATGACTTGTTTAGTCTTTTGTTTCCCATCAGAAAACTCATTCTGTCCTGCATCTTATTTCTCTGAAAATGGGGTGTATTTTGAAAAAAAAACAGATCTTGGTTTAAAACATTTGGGAAACTTTCTGCTCTTCCTTAACATTGTACTTTAGGATGAATCATTTAATAATTTTACTGTTTTTATCATAGAAATCTCCATATGGAAACATTTAAGAAAGGAAAAGTAGTGGAGATTGGTACTGGGTTTATGTTTCTATTTCTTCCCCAAAACCATGAAAGAATATTCTCTTTGGTAAATGATGAGTGCAGATCTCTAGAATTCCAGTTCTAGGGAATGTTCAGTTACAAATTAAAGGTAATAGATATCTGGGCCTGAAGTATATATCTATTCTGATAGGTGGTTCTGAAGAAAAGTATGAAATGGATCTGCCAGAGCTGCTACCAACTAATAAGCAGCTAAGTGGGAGACATTTTGGAAAAAGAGGGCAGAAGAGGCTCCAAGTTGATAGGTATTCAGCAGAGTTTTTTTGGTGGCTGGCCTAGATGAGCTCCTCTTACGTTTGTCTTTAGAAATATATATATATAGCTAACAGCACCGCATAGGTGTGAATTTTACATTCTGGCTGGAACAATGTTGCTGTGGGAATGAAAGTAATTTCCCAATGTTCTTTGAAGGCTGAGGCCTTCAAGCTGAGATGATTTTGGTTTTAAAAGAGAGGGAGACTTTAGTAAGGGAAAAGACTTTTTTTTTTAACTAAGAGTTATCTTCAAGGTCTTTTGGTACTTAGGAATGATTTTTCTGCCTTGTGTCAAAGGCTGTTGCTTTAAACATCTTGTCCTATTTCCATACATTAAGAGAACTGTCCTTTTAGATGTCTCTATACAATTAAGTTTGTTGAAGGGTTATCGTTAATTATATTTAAACTGATAGAGCCGAATACAAATTCATACTTAATTCTCTGAAAATCTGTACCTAATATAGCTGAAGTTAAACGCTTCTTGTTCCAAATGATCAGCTTTATTTGAATAAGCTGAATATAGGTACCTTTTGAAGTGCATACCCCATACATGTAAAAGATTTAAAAAACAGGGAGGGGGGGCAACATTTCCTTAAACTCACTGTAGAATAAGTCCTTTTTGTGTTTGACTGCAAACATGAATATTTGATCATGGGTTTTCGTTTATACTGAAATGTTTCTCTGGTAGTAGTATGGCGTAGCTCACTTGCTCTTCCTGTGCAATGGACTCTAATCCTATGTTTGTGACGTCCCAGTAACTTCCATGGTAACAGTCAAGAACACCATATTGTGGCATGTCTGAATCATGCAGAAGGAATTTGATGAAAGGGGGAGGCTTTCTATTTAAACATATCTTGAAAATTGTAGTGCTGGGAAAAAAACTGTAAAAACATTGTGGTATTTCAGGTTTTCAAGACATTCTTTCAGTAACGAGGCAGAATAAGGTGGCTCAGAGCCCCTTTGCTGGCACTTGAACATCAGTTTTCTTTCTTTGAAATCCTGCTAAAAAGCGACTGTTCTTAAAAAGTGGGTAATTTTGTAGGTGTTTGTATTAGCTTCTGATTATACAGTGCAATTCGCAGTTTTTCTCTAACTGAAGAATCGACTCTCAGAGTTATTAGCACTGCAAAAGGATGAAAGGGAAGTCTTAGCACAGTGGATAATGCAATGGCAATGTATGTTTTTGTGCCATCTTCTGGAAAAAAAAGGAGAGAGATACAGGAATAGCATTTATGAGAAACCTATATGCATTACACACACCCTTTGTACTATTGCTTTCTCTGTGTATACTGAAGCTTCCAAGCCACTGGTGGCTTCTTGTTTAAAGATACCGTAGTTTAGGGGGAGACAGGGTTTATTAGAATGCATCTATGAGCTTCCAATGTGAAATGTATATGCAGCTCCCAGGAGGTTTTTTCTGTCTTTGTTCATGCTGAAATCTTTTATTTGCAGGGTGTTTTCTGCTTACATTAAGGAAGTGGATGAAAAACCAGCCAGTACACCATGGGGCTCCAAAATGCCGTTTGGGCAGCTGATGTCAGAATTTGGGGGTGCTGGAAGTGGCGGATGGGTGCACAGTGTCAGTTTTTCTGCCAGTGGTAACCGCCTAGCCTGGGTCAGTCATGATAGTACTGTGTCAGTTGCTGATGCCTCAAAAAATATGATGTAAGTATGCTCTTTCTGTTAGTCATTAGCTGTTTGACACAGAAGGAAGCAGTATGTGGAATATTGCACTTGCAACAACGAGAGCCGGGACTGCTGTTACCAGTTTTGACAATTTTACTGTAGATTCCTGGAGTCTCTTTGAGGCCTATATAAATAAGGTAGATTCTTAGAATTTTAGATTATACAATTTAAATTTCTTACAAGAATTCTTCATCGATGTTATAGTGAATTTACTCCGGCAGGGAAAGAAGCATTGGAAAAAAAATACAGTCCACTCTAGTGATTGGGGAAACAATATTTCCTTGTAAATGGATTCATGAGAATCCAGAAACATGCTCAGTCCATAACTAAGACCCTATCCCCAAAGAGGATCTGGAAAGTAAGTTGTTCATTTCATGAACTGTTAATTCCAACCACTGTCCTTAAGACACTGTTACTGCAAGATTTCAACTTACACCTTCCAGTCCAAAAAAATATTTTATTAAGAATCCCTCCTTCTGCTCTTCATCTTGATCTGAATACCTTTTCAGTGTCCATGGCCTTCTAAGCAAGAAGGAAGAGATTCCCCATATGTTTCAATAGCAGAGATCTCTAGTGGATCAGCCAGGCATTGCTGTGCTTCATTTTGAATTATGATTCTGATGGCTACAGCTGTATAAGTACCTGGCTGGGGTATCATTAAGTATAAAGTGTTCTAGAATTCTTTTCTCATTTGTTAAAAAGTCACAAAAGTTGACTTAATTTACCATACAGGCTTTTTCCTCCTGAAAAGATGATGCCAAGCACTAAAACTTGATGTTAAGTGTTTTTCACATGCAAATGAAATTAATAGCTTCAGCAGTTTGAACCTTTTTTGAGGGTATTCTTTTTAAACTTTTGCCACTGTTTACACAAAATAGTAGATAACTTCAGCCTCTCACCTGGAATACTTTGTGTTTGTTATAGATCTTCCAGGACACTTTCATTAGGTTAAAACTTTTTACTACAAATTACAACCTTCTGGTGTCACCTCAGGACAACTGAGCTACACGGACGTCTTTTCCAATAATCCTTGTGTGGGAACGGTCTCTATTTTTTGTTGGAGCAAAAGATGAGAGGTTTCAGTGAAGTCCTCTAACAAATGTTCTTGTGTTCAGGGTTTCGCAGCTGAAAACAGAGTTCCTCCCACTCCTGAGCGTGTCGTTTGTCTCTGAGAACAGTGTGGTGGCAGCTGTAAGTGTCTATTATTTTCTCCTTGTAGAGTGTTGTAGTGTTTTGAAGAGGGAGAAATACCACACATTATGAAGTTAGTAATAAGCAAGCTCTTCCATAGTGTTAGTATGTGCATTTCTGCAATTAACAGCAGCAGAAAAACGAAATGGTGATTATGTTGGTTATGTTTCCTGACATGCTTTCATGATGTCTGGTTGTAGGGCCATGACTGCTGCCCGATGCTCTTTAACTGTGATGACCGTGGCTTGCTGACCTTCGTTTCCAAACTAGACATTCCAAAACAGAGCATCCAGCGCAATATTTCTGCTATGGAACGCTTCCGAAACATGGATAAAAGAGCCACTACAGAAGATCGTAACACTACCCTGGAGACACTGCACCAAAACAGTATAACGTGAGTGTCTTGGCTGCCAATACTAGGGAAAGGAATGCTCTTCACATCACTTTGGTTTCCCAGGATGTGCTGCAAACTTACGAGAGCTGAAATTTGCCATATCAAATGGGTTTAGCTGGTATCCCGTTTTCATTTTAGTCTTTCACTAACAGCTGTCTATTTCTGGGACTTACATGGAAGCTGGTAAAGTTAATCATTGATATGGCATGCATGCTACTGCTGTTTGCTCATGTTTAATGTGTTCTGTTACTTGAACACAGTTTATCTTATCAAATATGTAGATGGTTCACAAGAGGTTTGTAGCACTGTGCAAAATGTAGTCGGCAAAATTCACCTGAAACAGGAATTCACATACCTGATTCCTATTTCAGATGTTTTTTTCATGTGTATTTATTCATCAAAAGGATTGATTCAGGTTAATTGAGTAAAATATCCTTGGATTTTAAAAACGTATGTGAGCCCAGAGGATGCTAACATTTGTGAAGCAATTTGTCTTTATTCGAGGAAAATGTTTAGGCTACAGTCACCAAGTGATAAAAGAGCTTTCAACATCCTTTTTCTTTGATTATTTTTCTGAAGCATTGTACCAAAAATCTAGCATAAGCTCCGCTATACTCATGTCTCCCTTTGAGAGAGTAGGAGTTGAATTCAACCCAAATTTCCCAGCTTTTTGGCTCTCTGGAATGGGTGTCTGTGTTACAGCTACCACTCTCTGTTTTCAGCCAAGTGTCTATTTATGAGATAGACAAACGAGATTGTCGTAAATTCTGCACCACCGGCATTGATGGAGCAATGACCATCTGGGATTTCAAGGTATGCTTTTACTACCATGTTTATGTGAACTGGGTGCGGTGGTGGGATTTTTTTGATCTCTAGCATCAGCTTATGGGGCTCAGCCCTAATGCAGGTTTTATTAGCAGTAGGAAATCCAGACTGGAATATTCAAGACCATCAGTGAAATCCATAAGGAAGACAGATCCAAGATTCAGCGTAAATGCAGATATACTTTTCTTAGCAGATGGTGCTAGTCCAGACTTAATTTTTTAAGGGAATCACTTAATGTCCCTGTAGGAATGAATCCCACTAATTCTTTCCTTCTCTGACCTCTACCTCAGCCACAGTCAGGCTGGAACAATCATTGGTTCGACACAGCCCTCTACGTCTTCTTGCTCCCATCCATTTGGACTGAGCTCACTGTCTTTCTGCTGAAGATGGTCCTGCCCTCTCATAATTAACTTACCAAAGTAGTAAGAAGTTACCTCAAACAGAAAATGCAGTAAGCACTGTACTGAAAACGGTGAAAGGATTTAATAATACAAGTGCTTGCTTTGCTGAGGACTGTCCAACAGAGGTCTCTGCTGGCCTCCCCAAGCTGCTAAGAGCTGTGCACTGCCTTTTAGAAAAAGAATAGTTTTTCTGTATTCTAGGATGCCAGAAAGCTCTGGTGGGGACAGGAGCCAAATAAGAAATTGAGGTGACATACAAGCTGCTTTAATGCAGTTTCAGGGGAAGGGGGTGGAATCATTGGTCTATATTTGCATGAGTTTGAAATGAATGACTATAGTCATCTCTGGCTCTTGAATAGGAGTCTAATCTCAAGTATTCAGGGTTTTTACTTGTTTTTCTTAGCATCAGCATTTACACTGAATTATTTAATACAGGATACTGTAGCAGATTGTGATTAAGATTTTCTCTCTTTCAAGACCTTAGAGTCATCTATTCAAGGTCTACGAATCATGTAAAGATGGATTTCCGTGATCTAGCAGGACAAACTGCTTGACAGAATGCAGCTCCTACATCTGCACAAGCCCGAAAAGGGAGGAGGAAGGTTGAATATTTGGAAACACTGAGAAAATACAGCTTGACAGATTTTCTTTTGAATCTAAATTTGGTGAATTGTGTTGGTTTCAAAATCAGCTGTGATTGTTCTTTTTTTTTTTTATTTTTTTTTTCGGTTGGTTGTTTCATTCCATTCTTTACCAAAGCTGCTCCTTAAGTAGTTTATTGCAGGAAGTTGTGAATCACTAACTTAAAAGGGGAATTTTATGTAAATTGTCTGCTAGAAATAATAATAATAAAAAAAAAGAAAAACTGATTATTTGTTTTGATGCTCATTAGTAGTGATTAAAAAAGGGATATTAAGGGAATTAACTCTGAGAGAGAGAGAGCGGGAAAACCCTGTACTGATATTTTATGGTCTTAAAACAGGAGAAGTTAATCTTAACTGAAAGTTTCTTAAAGTTGACAGATGGAGACCTGGAGTTCTGACGATCTGGATGTGCAGATTCAGCTGGGCTTCTTTCAGGGGAGTTGTTCCCTTGAGGTGATGATTTTGGAGGATTAATAATTTTCTCCTACTACTCTTAATTCTGTCTGCCTAGCATTTAATCCAGTAATAATAGCAAATTAACCCAAACATCTTTTTTATTGTCCGTTTAGTGGCTCATAGTTTCCAAAGGTGAATGACCAGAATTATTTGTAGTTACTTTTTAGGGTTTGTACAAAGACTTCTCACAGGGCAGTGCCTAGGATATGGGGTGGAAGGCTGCATGTGGAAAGTGAGGCAAAAATCTGCTGAGCCAAATCTTAGGAGGACAAATTAAAAGCAAATCACTTTGTAAGTCCATGAAGCTACACAGGCCTGCATGTTGTGTTAGAGCTGAGTGCTCAGCCTGTAAAATTCTGTGTTTATAATGACTGGTGGAGAAATGAAGTGGACTTAGAGGTATCAGCGTGGTCTGGCTTCTGTGCAGATCCTTTGTCTCCAGGTGACTGTAACTTTTGAAGTTCAGTTCTGAGCCTCGGTAGCTTACGGAGGCATTTGCACATAACTTATTTTATTCACATGGTCTAGTTACTCTTAACTGTATTCCTGCCTTGACGCTTGAGGCAAGCTGTGCTCTGGAGAGGATTATCTGGCTCATAGCATTGCTTTACAAGGTTTAAGACTATGACATTTCTGTTGAAAATGCAGAAGTGTCTTAAAAAAACCCCAGTGACTAAATTTACCACTTCCTCTGGAACGAGAGTTGCTTCATACACTGCTCGCTTCTCAGCTCTGAGTGATTGAAAAGGGAGGGTGGAAGATAAGCTTACAAAGCTGACAACTGCTGTTGTTCTGCTGCAAGTGAACTGTGTCCATCACAGAGCTGGATCATTTTCAGGTGCGATGTTGGTTGCATGCAGAGAATGAACTGTTTTTCCAGTTCCTTCAGGTTTTCTTGTGTCTCCCACCTTCCTCCCCTGGCAGCCAACCGTGGCTTTGCAATTTCCTCTCCCTTCTAAACATAAAATAATGACTATTTAACCTCTACTCTTGCAGTCTAGTGACCTTATGTGTGCGATGACTTGTGGTGGAGTTGGGTTTATCAGCTAGAATACAATGCTAAAGGAGTTAAGTGTCTTCTGGGTCAAAGTGGCCCTGCCAGCCTTGGCAGATGGGCAGGGGAGCACAGGTTTGGCTTTGTCCATCTCCGTACGTACTATTAGATGCATGTATCTCACAGACAGTAATGATTTTGGTTTTGAAGTCACTTCTGAAAGTGTGGTGGTTTATTTCCAAAAAGTATTTAAAAAAAAAAAAAAATTCTAAAATCTATGGTCCAAATAACATAAAAGGATGGAAAAAAATCATCTAATGAGAGAATGGAGAAAATGGGTCTCTAAATGTTTATGCCTTGTTCTTTTTCTGTGTGAAAGAGCTGGAGAAGGTAAAATGAGCCTGTTTGCTCCAAAAAGCCAACAGACTGAGGTTTGATGAAACAGCCCTAGGTTACTGTCTGAGAGCAATATGTATGCTAGAAGTCTGAGATTAAAAACAAATTGGTGATGCTTATATAGAAAAGGACTGAGCAAGGGGAATATAAAAACCCATCACTCAAGACATAATTCAACTTAAAACCGCCCCGTGCGCAGGGGCCGAGGAGAGCTCTCCACCTTGTGCCCCATCCGACGGTGGGATACGATGGCTCTCTGGATTTCCAGGCCATCACTCCTCTCTGAGAGGACGTTCTGCTGCCATCCCACCTCTGGTGTCTGAGCCGCGGTGAAGGTAGGTGGATGTTTTACCTCTACCGTTTCCTTGGTCGCCTCCCCCGTCTGTAACGCTGTCCTCTGTGTCCAGCGTGGGTGAGAATTCAGTAGCATATTTAGCTAACCGCAGCACCAGCCTTCTTGGCACATGCTTGTGTGTGCTCAGGTTAACGGTGCCTTTGAAAGCGATGTTTACAATAAAGCTCGTGGTTGCAGTCTTAATTACAGGATAGCTGCTGGCTGCATATGCTCGACGTTGCACGCCAGTTAACAGACTGTTTAGGGGCAAGAAATGGGGCGCTACGTGAGCAGGGATGCCAGGGACCGTTCACTGGGGCCTGCCTGAAAAACTCCCCAGCCTCTAAATTGAAAGAAGCTGCGGAGTTGCTGCCGCTTTCCATCCCCTCTGCCCCACCTCCAAAGAAAACCCCAGCAAAAAAACGTTCTGGTGTCCCCAGCATCTCTGCAGTGGCATAGTTTCGCTACAGCCTTTCTGCAGAGGCCCCAAACATTACAAGACATGCTGCCATGGATGCAGGAGGATCTTTCCATTTAAGAAAACAGAGGCAAAAGCAGGTAAAGGATTTAGCCAAACCTCGAGTTGGATCTGGCAAGAGACCCAGCGGGGCTGAGCCTTCATCCCTGGCCCCCGCAGCACTGACTTATTCCCCCCGTGGGCTGTCGAGCCCACGTGTCGAGCCTGGTGGAAACCAAAGCAGCGTTCAAAACCAGTGTGTCCCTGGCAGAGGCAGCTCGTTGCACTCATTAGCGCAGGCTCAGAGAGGAGCCACAGCAGGAGCAGCCTCGAGACCAGAAGCGACGAGGAAACGCGATGGCAGGCAAGGAATTGCTCAGCAGGCAGTGCTGGGGGGGACACTCTCCTCTCCCGTCTCTTAATAACATCCCCCAATTCCTACTGCAGAAGTTAAACTGACCTACCGTTCATTCGCATCCCTGCCTGGAAGGGATCCGATGTGAAGGGATGAGCAGAGGGATGGTCTCCTGGCCTGCGTCCTCCCAGCGCACACGGATGAGAGTTGCCGGTCTTGGTGCAGGGCTGGAGGCAGTGGTTGGACACCTGGAAAGCCCGAACCCTCCTGGTGAAGAGCAGAGGCAGAGCAGCTCGTAGCCAAAGGAGGACTAGAGAAAACATGCAGGCAGCAGGAAAAACTTCAAAAAGCCGCAGCTTTCGGCTGCGTGGGAGCTGCGTCCCTCTTGCTGCATTTGGGGCAGCAGCGATGCTGGGGACGAGGCTGGGTCCTGCGATGGGCAAACTGCTGCCAGAGGATGGGGCAGCTCGCTGCTTCCGAGAGGGACTTGTCCCTCCATGGGGATTCAGTCCTGATGAGAGCCGCAGAGACCCACCACCCTCCGGGGACATCTCGGTATCTCCATGTGTGTCTGCTGCAATTGTGAAGGGAAGCGTGGCTAATGAACTTGAGGACCAAGGGAAAGATGAGCTGCCTGCTCAGTGCCACCCTGCAGAGCCTTTATCTACAGCTGACCCCTCACACGGGGATTAATTCTGCAGCTCAACAAATATGAGGTTATTGTATCCACAGCCTGCAGCTGAAAACCCTGTCGGGGCCCTGGTGCAATGCTGTCCCGATTCTGCGACGTTACTCGGGGAGGGAAGGGGTGAGTGCATCCCTCCACGCATGACTGCAGCCGGCTCGCAGCAGGGGAGGGAGAAGCTGAAGCCCATCTCTCCTTCCCAGCAGTTCCAGCAGGAGCTGAGTCCCTGGGAGTTACCCTGCCCAGCTGGGAAAAGGAAAAAAATGAGTTGTTCTGAAGCAGGAGGGGAAAAAAACCCAGAGGGGTGCATGGCTGGTAGGTGGGGGTACACACATGGTGTGTTGGGGCGAGCAGAGCTGTGGCCGCAGCCAGCCTGGGCTTGGGTCCCACTGGGCTCAGTGGGATGCAGGAACCGGCAGCAGCGGCCGGATCCGGGCGCCGTGGGGTCCTGCCGAGCTGCGAATCTCCCCGGCCGTGGGAGGCGATGCCGACGCACGTCTCGCCCCGGGTGGGCTCCGACCGCAGCTATCGCCTGCTGCGGGCAAGCAGGACCTCCGGGCCGCATCCGTCCCCTTCCGAAACGCGTCGGGGACCTGGGGGTGACCAACCCTCCCGCTGCCGGAGGGAGAGGGGATTGGGAGAATCCTTCCCTTCAGCTCTCCCGGCTGCATCCTTCCCTTGGCGCACCCGGGACGAGTCGCCCGCATCCCACCGGACGGCGGGAGTTGCCGGGAGCATCCCGGGACTGGTGGCTTGTCCACGTGCGGCCATGGCGGAGAGGCCTTGGCTCGCAAGCAAACAGGCAGGCAGGGGCAGGGCGGCCGCCGAGCTGCTTTGCGCTCCCCCAACGCCCACGTAAGGAAGTGGTTGCATTTCTCGGAGAGGAAAAGGGAAGTCGGACTGCCTCGGCGGGGCAGCCAGCAGCTCCCACCGCTCCCTCCGGGGCTGCCGTTCGTGTCGACTGCCCAGAGTCCATGAACTAGCCCTGCTTGCCCTGCCTGCGCTGCCCAGCAAGGTAAGGAGCCGGGGAGGCAGCTCTGCCAGCCCGACGAGGAGCTCGGTTTTGTCCCATGGGGGGGGCTGTGGCCGTCACCCCTCGAGGGGAGGCAGGGAACCCCCGGCCGGGGCTGTTTTGGGGTCCGAGGGGGGTGCAGGCGACGCCTCGCCACTCGTGGGTTCTGCTGTCGCAGCGTTTGGGGCTTTTTTGTTTGTTTGTTTTTCCAGCTTTGGCAGCAAGTTTGAGTTTTATTCTCTTGCCGGAGGCCCGGCAGCTTGCGGGGTGTTGGAAAGGGTCCCCCAGCGGGGGTCCCATGGGGGTTGGTGCAGGCAGAACCAGAGCTGCCTGTAATCTGCCTGCCTCTCCTCCCCGGGGCATCAACCCCCTCGGATTTTACCCAGCACGATGAAGAGGAGGGTGGGAGCTGCCCTCCATCTGCCCTGGGGCAGCGATGTCCCCCCCCAGGACCAGGCTGGCTCTCGGGGTACCCCACACCAACGTCGGGGACTGAGGGTGGGTGTCCCCGACCCGGCTGGTGGGACGACGGAGGG